TCATTACTCCAGTCTTCAGTGTCACGTGATCCTTCAGAAATCATTCTGATATGCTGATTTGGCTGCTCAAGAAACATTTCTGATTATTATCAATGTGGAAATTTTAAAAGAACAGACTTCATTTGAAATGGGAATGTTTTGTAACAATATAAATGTCTTTTACTGTCGCTTTTGATTAGTGTGATTAATGTGCTTGTGCAAACACAGAAAGTGAGACCATAACTATATTTTACCTGATGTGTGTGTTTCAATATTTGTGCAATTAAAAGAACACATTATTAAACATTTTCAAACAGAAACTGCTGACACAAGGAAAACATTTCCTAAAAACTCCCTAGACACAGAAAAGAGGAGACCAGGTATGTATCTTACAAACTACAGACACACATACACTAGTATTGGTAGATTAATTATAACAATACCGAAAAAAATCTTTACTATTTAATACTTCACAAAAATGATAATGAACAATAGTGATTTATTAATAGTATTTATATACTTCTGATGCCTTTTTTAATACAAATGCACTATTTTAAAGGCTAAACTGTGTTTATATCACATTTAAATGTCAGTGCAGGGCAGAATGTGGGATTGGAAACAGATTTCTATAAATTCAATTCAGACGGTCTCATTATGCCTGTAGCCAATCACACAAGCCTTCTGTGTCTACTAGCCAATTATATGCCACATTTAATTAAACATTGCACGTCACATGACTGATGAGTCCTGATGAGCCATATCTATATGTACATGCCTTGTTCAAGTTCACCAATTTGATCTGTGTTTCATTGCAGACGTCACTCTCAATAACACAGCCAGCAGAAGTTCAGGTGAGTGTGTGCTTTCTGATGAACTAATTCCGGTTCTCAAAATGAGTTAAATACTAAATACTGGAACTGATGGATTCTGTAAGTAGGCCACAATCAGTGCATTCTTACAAGAGACATGAAGTACTTGTAAAAGTGGAGTATCTGTATTGTGGTTCAAGAGCCTGAACTACTTCAATCTGTGTGTCAGTGGACTCTCTTCCTGTTCTCCAGGTGCAGTAGCTGAGTTTTTGGATCCCCAGCAGCAGGTTGTGGTTTGTGTTGGAGGAACCGCTCGACTGCACTGCCGTTTCAGAAGCTCTGGGCCTGTGGCTTCCTGCTGGATTCATGACACGGAAAAGGTCTGAGCAGTTTGTGAAGCTTTAGTGGAACGTGTATTTAAAGGGGTCATATGATGTTGCTAAAAAAGAACATTATGTTGTGTATTTGGTACGGCGGCAACAATACTACAGCAAGAATCAAAGTTACGCCTTTGCGTGAACATTTGGGTGGTGTTATGCAAATCTTCCCACACAGTGATGTAGACATGTGGGGGAGTGTTTAAACGAGGTGTTTTAGGAGGGCGTGGACGAGTCTTAACTTTTATAAAGAATATCTCTTTGGGTTTGAGACTTTAGTCTTTGCAACTTTAGGGATCTTATCTATTCACAATCAGCTTGTAACACTCCAAAGAGAAAGGAAAACTTGAAATCGCATCATATGACCCCTTTAATTAATGTGATTCTCCACACCTGTGTGAACATAAGAACTGACTTCATGAATTTCAAATAAGCAGGTGTTTTGTGGTGGATTCGTTGGAAAAAAACCCACTTGTCTGATATTTTTAGTGTGGATATTTTGTCATTAGGTTTTGTTAGAAGGACCGCGAGTGTGTGCGACGAACACCAGCAGTAGCAGCACCCTGGTTCTCTCTGATGTTCTTCCTGTAGATGCGGGAAGTTATTCCCTTTTTGTTCGGAACCGAGGAGGCACAGCTCACCGGACCATAAGCCTCCGTGTCATTGGTAAGATCTGAAATTAGTCTAATCGGTCTATATCTATGGTGATAGCATGACAACCAATAATCAAATTGCCTTTTTGTTCTCATTTGTGTTGCTTTAGTATTATTCATGTACTATTTTAGTGTTTATTAATATTTCGAATTATATTTTCAGGTTTTTGTTTTAGAAATGTCATGTTTTATTAATTCATTTTAATATTTCCATTAAGCTTTATTTTTTTTTATTGGATTTTTTATTTTTTTTTACATTTTCAGTTTTAATTCTAGATTTAGAAATTATGTATTTACTTTTAATAGTTTTCAAATGTATTTTTTTTTAGCTTTTTAATTTCTGTTTTTTTTTTTTGTTTACCTTGCAGTTGTCATGCCTTTTCTATTATTTCTGTTTAGCTTTTTATTTATTTTTTTGAACAAGCCTTTTTGTATTTTCAGTTTGTAAATTACAGAAATTGTGCTCGTCATATTAAACACACACACACGCGTATTATTTTATATATATATATATTTTTTTTTCTGTATGGTTTTATATTTTTGTATTAATTTAAAAAAAAAAAAAAATTTAAATCCCATTTTTGAAGTATGTTTTTCTTTGTTTTATTATATTCAAAAACATTTTTTTAGTTTTAGTAATTTAGTACATTTTAAACCTTTTTTTTCCCTCTCATTTTCATCTGCTAGTTTCTCTTGTCATTTTTTTCATCAATGTGTTCATCTTTTGAATTAACAAATAATTAAAAAAAAATTATATATACATTTTTTTTTTTTTTTTTACTTCCCAATAACCTTGCTTCTCATTCACTTTCTATTTCTCCCCAGATCGTCCAGACCCTCCAGCCTCGTGTCCGTTCGTATCCCAGCTGACCCGCTCATCGCTGGTTCTGTCCTGGTCTGGGCCGTGTTTTGATGGAGGTTCTGCCATCACAGGCTACGTGGTGGAGTTTCAGAGGCTGGACCAAACCGAGCCCGGCGACTGGGCTGAACTCACTAACCAGTGTCAGAACACCTCGTATCGGGTCCGCTCTGGTCTCGACCCGCAGGGACAGTATCGCTTCAGAGTACGAGCCTGTAACGCAGCGGGAGTCAGTGATTCCAGTGAGGAGTCGGACTGCATTAAGATGAACGCTGCAGGTAGACAGATGCCCAACTTTTAAACCATTTTAAGTTACCATGCTAGTCTTAATGTTTCTGTAGTATATAGTATATGTAGTGTGTACAGTATGCAAATTATGTATGCATGAAATATGAGCAAATTTGTTAAACATTAAAATATATTTTCATTTAATTTGTTTAAAATCTAAATATTGTTTAAATGTATAATGAATTATATAATCTATTTTTTTAAAAAACATTTTTTAAAAATGTAATTTTTTTTTAATAAACATTTAAATGTGAATTCTATAATATGTTATAAAAATATAAATATTCATGGTTATTGTATGTTTGTGTAGTTTGTTTATATAATTTCAAATACATTTCAAATATACACGCATATAGAATGCTAGTGTTTCTTTTTGAAGTCAGTGATGCTCAAGCAATTTTCTTTTAGGTGAGCCACAACAGGAAGTGACCTCATATGTGGAGGTTGTGCCTGACACTACACACAAAGCCAGGGATCATTATCATGTTCGTGAAAAACTGGGAGTGTGAGTATCAGCTAGTGTTGGGCGGTATACCGGTTCATACCGAATACCGGTGTTTATTTTTGTTATGATATGAATTTTTAAAATACCGCAATACCGGTGTATGTCACTTAAATAACGTTCGGAACGCGACACTGTTTGAAAGGGGTCCCTTTTCACTGTTGCACTGTGGTGAGGGAACAGCTGTATGTGTTACTAAGCCTGAAAGTTCCGAAACTGAAGCTGTAGAACTAATAGAACATGATGACACAGAAGAACTCATCCACAATATCCACATTGACCGCCACAAATATCCACCGCCCCCTGCCATCAGCTCCCGCGTCTCACAAGTGCGACTTCAGCACTAGATTTAGCAACTTTCAGACCCATTTAGCTGCTTTTTCCCATAGAATATTCATACTGACAAACCTAGCGACTTTTTTGGATAAACCTTCGCTATGGTGTACCGTGAAACCAGTATAATTTTGAAAAATACCGTGATATAAATTGTTGGTCATACCGCCCAGCACTAGTATCAGCCATCTCATAAATCAAGTCTAAAATTGATATTTATATTTATCTTAAACAGTCATCTTCTATCTCCACAGGGGGAAGTTTGGGGAGGTGTACAGGATGACCCATAAGCATACGGGTCAGGTGTATGCTGGGAAATTCTACCGGGCCCGTGTCTCCAGAGAGAAAACGGCAGCGCGTCAAGAAATCAAACTGATGAATGAACTACGTCACCCGAAGCTGGTGCAGTGTCTCGCAGCCTACGACACCCCGTCTGAGATCGTCATGATTCTGGAGTAGTGAGTAGTGATATAATCCATATGTCTCTTTAAAGTGACACATGAAATGGCTTTTTCTAATATATATATATACATACACACACACAAACTACATATCTAACCATTTTAAAGTGTTCTATGTAGTTGTTGCACATGCATTTCTCTTATCCATTAACATTCATTTTAATTTCAAATCTTTGTTAAAGGAAATATCAGACCCGTTTTTTTTTTTTATTATTTAAAAATAATAAAATGCATTTAATTTAAAGGATAGAATGCTCCTCATGTGCTGAGCATGTTTGCAGTTTTGGAATTTCAATTTTAAAGGGGTCATATGATGCGATTTCAATTTTTCCTTTCGTGGTCTAACTAAGTTCTTTTTACCCACCAAAAATTGAAAACTTTTTTGGCAAGTTAAAATAAATATCACTTTTAGCTTTTAAATCAAAACTTTTGTATAAAAATGAAACCAACATGCATTTCTAACCTGTAATTGTTCTGCTTCATTGCAGTATTGCAGGTGGTGAGTTGTTTGAACGGATAGTAGATGAGAACTTCGAGCACACAGAACCCAACAGTGTGAACTACATGCGTCAGATCCTGGAAGGAATCCAGTATATCCATAGCAAACACATCGTCCACCTCGACCTGAAGCCGGAGAACATTGTCTGTGTGAACGCTGGGTCACTCATCAAGATCATTGACTTTGGACTGGCCTGCAAACTGGGTGAGTGATTCATTTTAAGTGCTGCTTTTTTTTTTTTTCCCAGAGCGAGTCAAACAATTTGAGTCGAAGTACGAAAAAAATTCCTCAATTTTGTAATTCCAAAGTAGAAACTTTATTTCTTTTATATTCACATTTTAATAAATCTAGATACACTGCTGTACATTCATCCCCGTCTGGTTTCAGTCTGTGTGTGTTATGTTGGGTTGTGGTTGGGAAAGAGCCACATGAGATGTCCCTTTGAGCATTCCCACTGAATCCGAATCAGACTCCCGGATGTTAAAGTTTTAAATTCCAGAACCGGCTCTCCACACTGATGGCAGGTTCTGAACAGTCCTGTCAAACTGGATTTGTTGACCGCCCATTTTCTTTCTTTCTGATCTACTATTCCTCTTGTCATTGAAATGGGATCAGATGCGGCATCAGACAAAGATCTCATGGTGTTTAAACGTTCCTCCAATCGCAGGGCAGTCTGTGCGAATTCATCCTACAAGAGAGAAAATAATCAGTGAGCAGTTTAGACTCCTTTGACTGAATTGCTGATCCTAAAAACATTTGATCTAAAGGCTTATTAAATGCTTAAATATTTTCATAGACTAATTACCCCGGATGAGTTGGAGTGAATATTGAAGGAAAGTGTCCAGCATACATTAATTCCAATAGGTCAGATCTTTACTCAACTGTCCATTTTGACCAACCTTTCTTTCCTCATAGTGCACTGCGCTGTCTTCCTCTGTAGTTGTGCTTGAAGATGAACTCTGCTCCATCATACGGTTTTGTTCCTCAGTGTAACCCATGCTGACATCTGGGTCAAATCTATCCTCTATTAGTCGTTCAGGCTGTGCTTGTTTATCCTACATGGCAGAAAATGGTGACACATGAGAAGTTATAATGCAGAATACAGTTGTGTATGGTTGCCAAAACTTGATATTTAACATCAATTTCCAATGATGAGCAGTCACAGGTGTTGTATGTTAATCATTTTTAAAATTTGTATGTGGCTCATCTAATTAGCCTGTCAATTTCACAGTTTTGAATCAAGTTTGCAATTCAAATTCAAATTAATTCCTAATTAAAGTCAAATGAGATCAATTAGCTTTAATTTAACAAGATTTTACCAAAATAGGAATGACCATATTGTTAGTAAGTCTTTAGTTGAATTTCTGGCAAAAATAACAAATAAAAATAGGAAATAAACTTTAAAATGAGTTTATGAACTCTAAAACAGCACATGTATGGCTGAAAACTACAAAAAATTGTGAAGTGTTATAATTGGAGCTTAATTATTTGCAGAATAATTTGTGGAGAAATAAAATAACTAAGATCAATGAATTTCAAAAAAAGTGCTGCATTGGAAAGCACTGTAATAGTGGAGAAACTTGCATGATATGTGAGCACTTACTGGTTGATATGGCCATAGGGGAGGGAGGTCATAGCAGATCCCAAGGACCTCAACGTTTGTGGACTGGGCTTCTGGACTAGGCACAGATTCAGTGTCTGACTGGGTGTCCCAACTGGGCTGAGGTGAATCCCTCAGAATCTTCTATGACAATTTATGTTTGAGATTAGTATGTTGTATCAGATGCAGTGTAAACCAAATGCGTTTAAGATCTAACAGGTTGACTAGAGTTACCGTAAAAAAACGATGAGTAATCTTTGGCATAGGTTGACTGACCCAACAAACCATCCATTGTACTGGTGTAGTATTAATTTTTACAGGTTATTTCCTGATAATTGGGACTCTCTCCCACCTCAATGGCAAAAAGTGTCGCAATTTACCTGAATGTACATACCCTACACACCTCAGTTTGTGGTGCAGATGCAAATGTTGATTTCCGGGGTCTTCCTCTCTTTCTCAAAGACGCACTGGATTTGTCTTGCAAAAGATGCCCACCACACACCCTTAATAAACAAAAATGAGAACCATAAAAGTTGCAATAAGCAAATAAGGCAAAACTTATTTTTACTGGG